TGTCCTTTCCTATCTTGCACTTGCCAATCCCTTTAAAGAAGATTATATCTCTTGGAAATTCACTCTTAATGGATCCTTTATGTAAACCCAACTAGCTACCAAAGAGGGGGGGTAAATTGGGTCTTATCAATTTACTCCAAAACTTGTTTCTTTTCCTTTTAAAACATGAATCAAATTTCCAATATATGAACTGTTGTGAAAAATAAATAAAGAATAATTGCAATCTTGCAAATAAAGGGCAAAAAAATAAAAATAAAAAGAAAGAGAAGAGAATATCAAACCGTGATTTACAGTGGTTCCTCCAACCCAGAATATGTCCATTCCTAAGCCATCTTGCTCGAGAGTTCAATCCACTAAGATTCTCTTACTTACAGGTGCAAGATTAAATTGGAACAAACTCTTGCTTGTGGGTGCAAGAATAAACCCTCACGCTCTTGCTTCAAGGTGCAAGATAAAACCCTCATAAGTAAATCTCAACAACTCACTCAACCCCTTCAAGGATTATCCCAATCTAAGAAGAATACAAAACCCTTGTAAGCAAAGACAATCAACTCAAAAGCTCACAAAAAGAAGAAGAAGATATCGATCTGTTCCCATTTTGCAATCTGTGTTTTTCTATATCTAGAGAAGTTCGCTTTGGGGAGCCTCATATTTGACTTTTAATGCTTTTTTAATGGTTGGTTGGGAGATCTTACAATTAAGCCATGTTTTGCCCTTCAAAGCCACCTCACAACTGCTCCAATTAGATTCCACTCTTTTTCTACTTCCTAAAGTGGGTTAGTCATTTGAATCCCTCTAACACCCATTAAGACAAAACAGATAACTAAACTGTCAAAAGTTTGCCTTCTAGAATCTTTGCTTCAAAGCCAGAAATATTGGTTCGAACTGTTTTCTAAAAAAGAACTACGGGATTGGTTCATATTAATTGGAATTGATTTGAACCCAGAACTCTAGACAAGGAGGACATGATTTAATTCTAATCATGGGGAAAGATTAGAACCCTTGAATTAACTTTCCTGCACACTTAGCATAAAAATAGATTAACTCTCTATATCATGGTTTTAAATTATCATCAAAATACAAAGAGAACCTAACACTTTACACTCTCATTTGCCTATCATATGGTATGCAACTCTAAGCCATAAGATAAAGGAGTCTTATGGAAATTGATCTAGAAATGTCCCACTATTCCTAAAATTAATTTCTTTATATAGCTTATTGCTCATGATAGAATCCCTTCTAGGCTCCTTTATCCTTTCTTGGTATATACATCCCTGCTACATGTCCCCGTTGCAACTCTGCTCCTAAAACTGCCCTTTGCCTCAATTAAGACTGCCCTATTACCTCAAAATGTTGGCAATCTATACCTATTCCAATTGCTCTTCTTAATAGCTTCTAACTTAACCTCTCTGACTAGCTTAAAGCTAATTGCAATTTTAAACTTTGGGTTACCCATCCTTGAATCCCTTGGGCAGCTTATTTTTGTTACCTCATTTGGAATCTATAGCTTGATGGAAACAATCTTTGCTTCAATAATAACTCTAACTTGCAAGGAATTACTTGTAAAAGCATGGAACTTAGTGTAGAAATTTGCTCCTCCAATCCCCATCCTACAAAAACTATTTCCTATTCCTATATTCCCATTAGATGGATTCCCCCAAGGGGCAGGTGGTTCAAAATAAACACTGATGGATCTTCTAACTTCGATCAAACCTACTTTGGTGCTGAAGGAGTCATTAGAGATCATGAGGGTACCTTGGTCATGAGTTTTAATTTAGCTCCCATATATATATATATATATGCATGTGCATGTATTAATTAATTTGTTATTAATTAGCAAACTAAATTTTGCATGCATGCTCAACAGGCCAAAAAAGAAAAACCCTGGTTTAACTCCAATGGACTGGGTGAAGTTCTTTGTTTCTACTGAAATTGGACTGGTTAATTTTGGGATGATGTAGTATTTTTTTTCAATGATGCATGAATGGAACCCATAGGTAAACTATAAATAAACAGAGAGAAAGTTAAGCAGTTGGAAAACATTTATTGGGATGGATGGATATCTTATCTAACATAACTGCATGGTGAGTTTGACATACCAAGATCCAGCAGAAGAATGCAATCTCAAATGTATTTTGAAATAAAATAAAGTGAATTAAGTCAAGCACAATTCCAAGACAATGGAACCAAAAGTGTTTATTCGAGGGTTTCACTCGTGCTGCTTCTTGGTCTTGCATCTTCTTGTTGACATTCTCCTGAGCTAAGTGGATTATTATATGCTCTAATAACTTGGTCCCCACAAGAAGTAGAAGCTATCATCACCCAACCGTGTTATAAATTCGTGAGCTTGTCTCATTCCTCAAATAACTAACTAAAATAATGAATTACTAGCTACAAATTAATGAAATGAAATTGATGATGATTCTGCACCGAGAGAAAGTACCAAGAAATTGCAATAAGCATGCAGAAGCTACTCTGCAACACCACCTACTACAATAGGCCGGTGCAACTTTGTCAAAATGGCCACAAGTCAACAAAAATGGCCACCAAAGTCCACAAAAATGGCTAGCTCCCAACTGTACATTTATTACCTTAGTTAGATTTTGCCTATAAATAACCATGTTCCCTCCGTTGTAAAGATAAGTTTTAATCCAAAATTTCAGTTTATAATTCTCCTCTGTTTTTTTTTTTTTTAACAGCAAAAAGTAATGTTTATTAAAAACGGAGTACAATGAGTACTCAAACCCATAAATATCTTAACTTAAAAGGCATAAAATTACAAGAGCAGCCTTTTCTGATATATTAATACAAGAGCACTTCCAAGTTGTTAAAAACTTTAACCTGCACTTTGTCGTAAAAACTTTAACCTGCACTTTGTCGACTCAAAATATGAAACAGAAACTGTGATTTTGGTGCTTATCATAAGGTGTCGACACCAAAATTATGGGTCGACACCACACCCATGTCGGGTTTCTGTCCTCTTTTGCAATTTCTTCAATGGTAAAATTGCAAAATTGGTCCTCCAAGGTTTGTACAATGAGCATTTAGATCCCAAAACTCAAGATTCATTCACTTAGGTCCACAAGATAACACCTTCCTTCTTGCAATTTGGGTCCTCAACTTTCAAAATATGTTCATTTAAACCCAAAACTCTTATTCTTATGCATTCATGTCCTTTCCTTTCTACCACCCCTATCTCAAACATACCTTTGGGTCTCTCATCCAATCTGTAAGTAGAATTGCCCAACCCTTTTTTTTAGCTTTTATCCATTCCCAAGATCTAATCTAGATAACTTCAAACACCCTTGCAGCCTCAGGTTCTTTCTCCTTGAATATCCGATTGTTTCTAGACAACCATATGGACCAAACACAAGCAAACCATATAACCTCCCACCCTTCTTTTGTCTATTTATCTAGAAAGAAACCCATATGCTGATGAAATGCATCCCAGCAACTCCCCGACCAACATGATTGAACTCCCCACCACTTCAAACACATACTCCAGATTTTATGTGCATATTTGCAGTGTAGGAACAAGTGAGTAGCAGTTTCTTCCCCTTCTCCACATAAGTCGCATGTAATCTCATTATAGCTCCTCAATACCCCCCTTTTAAATAACTCGATTTTTGTTGGCAATTTACTTTGAATCAATTGCCAAACTAATGCACTAACCTTGCTCGGGACCATTGTATTCCAAACTTTCCTGTAAATTTCCAATTTAAGTCCGTTGTGTGGTGATGTTAGAAGCTTATAGGCTACATTTGTGGAGTAGCCATTTTTTGTGTCGAAGCTCCATTCCCATTTATCCTTTTTCCCTTGTATGAGTTGCACTCTAGAAAGGATTCTTCTTAGTTCATCTTCTGTTGTAGCTTCCCATGTCCTCAACTCTCGCCTCCATTGGAGGCTCCATGACCATTGTCCGCTTATCCATGTCCCCATCTGGTTGACAGTATTATGCCTCCCTGTTGATAATACAAATAGCCTAGGATATAGGTTAGACAAAGGACCTGTTCCTAGCCAATTATCTTGCCAAAAACACACATGCTTTCCTTCTCCTATACTTAACTTAAAATTATCTTCCAACCACCCTTCTCTCCCTGGTATGAGATCATTTAGTTTGCAAATATCTTGCCACCATTTTGACCCTCTACCGTTACCCTCTTTTACCCAACTCATCCAATTTCCACCCAGATTCCCATATTTACTTCTAATCACTCTATACCATAAGGAATTTGAGTTCCCTGCCAGTTTCGCCCACCACTTGCCCATTAGAGCTGCATTAAAATGCCTAAGGTCCTTTACACCTAGCCCTCCTTCATCCTTTCTTCTACATATCGACTCCCATTTAACCCAATTTATTTTTTTATGCTCTTCCCAACCCCCCCCCCCATAGAAATTGCCTTCTAATTTTATCCAAGATAGACAA